AAAAAAAAAAAAAAAAAAAGTAGATATTGCACGCCATGTTCATAGCAGCATTATTCTAAATAACTATCCAACAACAAATGAATGGATATATAAAACGTGGTATATCTACATAGTAGAATATTGTTCAGTTTTAAACAGAAAGCGGATTCAGACACATGCTATAGCACAGATGAACTCTCAAGGACACTGTGACAAGAGAAATAAGCCAATCACAAACACTGTATGATTTCACTTATATGAGATATTCAACTAGTTAAGTTCATAGAAAGCAGAACAGTGGTTGCCAGGGTTGGGGAGAGAGAACTATTTAATGGACAGAGTAACAGCCCTTCCTCATGAAAACAGTTCTACAGATAGATGAGGGTGATGGTTGCAAAGTAATGTGAATGTATTTAATGCCACTGAACTGTACACTTTAAAACAGCCTTAAGATGACAGATTTTGTGTTACCTGTATTTTACCACAATTATAATAACAAGTCTTAAAAATGTGTTAACTTTCTGGAGTCAGTAAAGCCTCACTTTCTGCATTTCAAAAAAAAAAAAAATGTGTTAACAATGACAGACTACTCCCAGGGTTCAACCCAATGGCCATGCCTCAGTCTTTACTCTTACTTCTCAAGAGCTCCAACACGACTGACCACCCTTTCATCATACATGCTGTGCCCCTGGCTGTATGTCCCTGGGACCTTCTGGCCCATTTGTCCTGCCTCTGCCTTTCAACTAAACTGCAGTCCTCAGTACTCTACGTAAGGTCCTCTTCCCATTCCTTGTGCATGCTGCAGATGCTATGAGACAGTTCCCATTTTTCTGTTGATGACAACCATGCCTGGCTCTTACCTCTCCCCTAGAGTGACAAATCTGTCCCAAAGATCCCTAAAACCTCATCACTTCAAAAACACAGAATGCAACATCATTTCCACTAAAGGGGAACAGTACCATCGTGGTGCCCCAATGACCCCCTCCCACAAACCAAAAGGCCACACCTAAGGAGAAGGGAGGTAGAGGCTGCCTCAGGCCAACCCCCGTTCACTCCTGCGAGGCTGTCCAGAGACATTTCCTTATGACCTCCAGGTTTCCAGTTCCAAGCAGGTGTGGGGATTGTTTTCCAACGCTACCCTTCATAGAGCTGCCTGATACAAAAGCACTGAACTGCAGTATAGATTTCATACCTCAGTAATGGGATAAATACCCAACAATCTATCTGGTTCCTTTTGTTTCAGTGTTTCATTTCTTTTTTGTTTGTTTTGTTTTTTTAAGACAGGGTCTCACTATGTAGTTGAGACTGACCTGGAACTCACTGCGTTGCCCAGGCTGGTTTAGAACTCACAGTGATCCTCCTGCCTCAGCCTCCCGAGTGCTGGGGTTAAAGGCGTGGACCCCCACGCCTGGCATCAGTGTTTCTTTTTTGATGCAGGGACAAGGACTACTGGCTTGCTTTGCTAATCTTCCTTTCTCTAGGTAGACAGTAAATTGTCTAAATCTGAAAGTGGCTCACTGTACTTTTACTGAAGTCATCAGGCATGGTCCTGCCTTAAATTCGTTAGTGCCTGACTGACATCCACCATCCCCAATCCACTCTGATCGCCCCCCAATCCATGTCTGCTACCAGCATCACTCAGCCCACCCCATCCACGTGCACTGACTACAGTCTACCCAGCTGTTCAAATTTCTAGCTGGAGCATCTTCCTTCTCCCTTCCTCTTTCATCACACAAGCACCCACTCATAAATTTCATTCATTCTACTTTCCAGGTCTCTACAGAGTCTATCTACACTGCTAACCTTTCCGTTCCTGGTCATCGATATCTCTAGGGTGGTTACCTGACAGCTTAACCAGTCTTACTCCAATCTACTCTTTATACAAAAACCAGGGTGATGCACTGAGAAGGCACATATGATGCCACCCTAATCAGCCAGATTATATGTTTTGCACTTCGTGGCATTAAGACATGGCAACCTCAGCCGGGCGTGGTGGCACAGCCTGTAATCCCAGCACTCGGGAGGCTGAGGAAGGAGGATCGCTGTGAGTTTGAAACCAGCCTGGGCTACTAGTGAGTTCCAGGGCAGTCTCAACGTGAGACCCTGTCTCAAAAAAACAAACAAACAAAAGACATGGCAACCTTTGTTAATGGGCAGTAAAGCTCAGGGACATACCACCCGAATGATCACCAAGAATAAGTTCTTCAGTTGTTGTGGCGGTACTGGGGATCGAACCCCAAGCCTAGCATATGTTAGGCAAGCCCTACTGTTGAGCCACAGCCCCAGGCCCAACAATATATTCTTCGAGAGAGCTTCCACAAAGTGGACACTGGCCAAGCAGTGAGACTCCTGACAGACTCACTTTGCTGGCTATGTCTAACGCTTGAATTTAACCTTCTTTTCTTTTTTTCTGGTGCCGGGGATCGAACTCAGGACCTTGCCCTTGCAAAGCAGGCAGCAGAACCACTGAGCTAAATCCCTGGCCCTAACCTTCTCTTTTTTACTCCAGGCTTTTCAACCAATTCATTTTTTTTCTATGATAGAAAACTATTCATTAAATTGAATCCAATATACGATCTGGAATGCACAGAAAGGAATAAATGTATTGCTGCTCCTTACCCAAAGGCACATAGCACATTACCTGTTCTTTAGCATGTTTCTGTTGCTCTCTTCTTTTGCGTTCTTCTTCATCTACTTTGCTGATAGCTATATATCGCTCCTTCTAAAAGACCAAAGCAAATAAGCAATTTTCTGCAAGCAACTTGACCTGACAGTCAGAATTCTATGCCCATTAAAAATAATTTTTTAAAAAACTGTAATTTTTACCACTGCAGTCTCTCAAGGGCCAAGTCCAATAGAAAATATTTCAAAATACCACTAAAGTTGAGATGTGCATCGCAAATCAAAATTGTCTCTACATTTCCATAATACTTCTCCATGGTTTATTAATTCTAACAAATGCAAATTAAAAGTATCAATAGGCTGTGAGGATAAAACATTTGATTCTCTTTCTTTCTTTCTCTCTCTCCCTGTCGTGTACTGGGGGGTTAATCCAGGGCCTCTGCACTGAGATACATCCCCAGCTCATTCTTAAATTTTTTATTGTGAGACAAGATCTCACTGAGTTGATTAAATTGCCATGGTTGGGCTAGTAATCCCCCTGCCTCAGCCTCCTCGAGTGCAGGAATTATCAGTATGTACCACCATGCCTGGTTATGAATTTTTAAATAAACAATTTTAAAGTAAAATCTCTGCATCATATTTTGTGGACATGAGGAAAAAAAAAAACCTGGATTTTCTTCTGGTTATGTGCCTTCTTTCTCATATATTGTATTTTGTATCCATTCTCACACCACAAAGCCTTCTATGTCAAAGTACGAGGCTTACATAACAAAATTATTTTTATGTTACACAAGCTCTGATTTGATGCTTGACTTCAGAGCAATAACCAAATTCAAAACTTCTGTAATTCTGCGAAAGGAACCTTCCGCCATGACCAGTCACAGCCCCATCAGTACACTTCGGGAACGTGTGACAGCAGCTAAGCTGAAGACTCAGACTCAGAATTTCCTTTTCCCCGCCAATACAACATGAAGCCAGTATGCTCACGGATAGCGTTACAGTTTTCTAACGCAGGAAGAATGTGAACAAACACTTGTATGCTTTCAAGTTTGTAAAGCATGTTACCCACTGGATCACCAGGAAACAGCTGTGCAATAGCAGATGAATCATCGTCATGCTCAATCCCAACGTACAAACGAGGAAGATGGGTTTAGAGAGGTTAAAGGACCCGTGTAAGCTTATCAGTTCACAGACAGTAGCCAAGGTGTAAGCTTTGATTTCCAACACAACAGTGTAGCATGGTATCCGTTTAATGTTAGCCCAGAATACTTCTTGGGGTTACCTTTTCAGTTTCTAAAGTCTCAATGTGAATGCCTTTGGGATACCTAAAAAAAAAAAAAAAAAAAGGAAAGCACGGCATCAGTAGATAAGTCAATGACAGCTGAAACCCAAAGTACTTTAAAAACAACTACACAGCTATAAACTAAGTAAGTTTTACCAATTTAAAATAGAGCTAAGCACAGTGGCACACACCTGTAATCATACCACTTGGGATTCAGAGGCCAGCTTGCACTACATGATAAGCTCAAGGCCAGCCTGAACTACACAGCAAGACCCTGCCTCAGAAAAAAAAAAAAAAAGAAAGAAAAAAGAAAAAAAGAAAAATCCAAACATAACACAAAAATATGAAACAGGCTGGGGATGTAGCTCAGTGGTAGAATGAATACCTAGCATGCACAAGACCCTGTGTTCATTTCCCAGTAATTCAAAAGGAAAAAAAAAGGAAATATCACCATTATAGTAAACGCTTAAAATAAGCCTATGTTGTAACATTCAGCTGCCAAACATCTCTCAAACCTTGTGCTTAAATACAAAGGAATATATTAATCTCAAACTAATTTTTTAAAGCATTTTCTAAAATGTACTGCATCTTTTTTACGACTTTTACTTTTACTGGGCATGCCTATAATCCCAGTACTCAGGAGGCTGAGACAGGACTGCTGAAAGTTCGAGCCAGGCTGAACTACACAGCCAGACTCTGTCTCAGAGAACCAAAGAAATATAAAATTTTTCTTAGAACATGTTTGCAGTACATGATTACACTCACAGTGCGGAGTTGGCACACATACATCTTAATTTCTTTTACACCCCCTTCCCCTACCCTTTCCACTCTGTTTTTCTATCTCCTAGTCCCCTTCCTAATTGCAAAACATGTACTGCATCTCTTAATACAGTCAATTTGTTGCCGCATGGTCAAATTTTGCTTACTGATATAACAATGCCTATTTCTTAACTGAAGCTTTAAAGGTCATTAGGCTGCACAGGGCATATGAAGGGAAAGTCCAAGGTGACTGATGGCACTTTGTATCAGCCAAGGAGAGTGATACGAGCACACAGGGAGTAAGGTGCAAGGATAACACAACAAAAAGGGGGCCTGGGCAAGCTAGACAATGACCCTTTCCTGATTTGTTCAAAATACATTCCCAGTATGCATGTCAGATTCTAATAGAAGAAAATGCAACTCAAGAGTCAAATGCAGATGCCCCTCCATCTAATGTTCAATGCTATGGGTTTCTATTTTTCTGGTACTCAGGATTGAATCCATGGCTTGCATGTGCTAGGCAAGCACTCTACCATTAAGCTATGTCCCTAATCTTTTATTTCACTTATATTCTGACAAAGGATCAAAGTCACTGAGACTGGCCTCAGACTTACCATCCTGCCCCTACCTCCCAAGTAGCTGGGATTACAGGTGTGCACCATAACACCCCATCTGAAGTTCAACTTCTGAGTTAAGAGAGTCAGACAAACCAAGGGAAACCCAAGAAGAAACATGCATGAAATCCTGGGTATTATTTCAGGAGATCTACAGATGTTTTGAAACCAGTCATAGTCTAAGCCAAAGTTAAGAACCCCGGCTTTTGAAAAAGAATACATCTGAGTATTTTTAGGTCTTAAAACTAAATCTTTAACATATACCTTCAAAAAACAAAAACAACCAGAGCTTAATGGATGAGATCAGAAAGATAATTAATCAATATTTCAATATGCCTTAAAGCATTTATTAAGAAATAATGACAAAGAAAATAAATTAAGTGGATATTCAACTTTGGAAAAGAGGGAGAACTTGTTATGGTCAAATTACTAAGAACTGCAAAATTACAAAAAGGAAATGACAATTAAGAGATTATATTTAGTCTTTAAATCCTGGGTCCCTCACAGAGCTTTAACACAAACACTTACTTCCAGCTCAAGGTCTGATAAATTAATTTTCTTTGGAACCTACAAAACAAAAGAAAAAGTATTCATTTTTGTGCCCATTAAAAGTAAACCTTGGGGGCCAGGGATTTAGCTCAGTGGTTCGGTGGCCTGCCTTGCAAGCACAAGGACCCGAGTTCAATCCCCAGTACAAAAAAAAAAAAAAGAAAAGTAAACCTTGGGCCACGGATTTAGCTCAAGAGATTAAGCCGCCTGCCTTCCAGGTATAAGGACCCAAATTTGATCTCCAGTACCAAAAGAAAAAAAAAAGTAAACCTTAACTGATCAAACAATGTTTGGGAAAGATTTAATTGTAAAAAGAGTTCATTAGAACACACACGGGACATACAAACAAAACTAGGTAGCATTTTTGAGGTGGGAGGATTCCTGATATCTTTACCAACAATTTTAATATTCTTATTTTCCTTTTACAGAAGAGGCAGATTTTACTGAATCAAAATATTACTTCTTGTAGCTACATGCAGACAGTTTTAAGTAGACAGATGCATTAACCCAATTTGTGAAACCTGTCACAAAGTAAATGGAAAGATGTTAAAGGGATGACTTTTTGAAATGCTGATTTTTTTTTTTAATGACAGAAGTTAAAAGGACAGGCATCCTTCTTTTCTGAAGGCTTTATGTGTTAAACACTCCTACAGGCCAAGGTAATTATACCACTCTTGGGGACAACTTAAAAGTGAAAGTTGTACAACAGTTTTCCTTCTTCAGGGACAGAGCGAAACATTCATTCAGTGTCTCAACATACAATTGCCCTACTGTGTTAATGCTAAAGTTAGTGCATAAATCTTGGGAACATATCTATAACAGGAAGACTATTTATAGTGATGTTTTAAAAAGATCAAATGCATGAAATGCCACAAATCACCTAAGTGAAAATATGCAGGACAACTAACCCGGTGCATGGCTCTAAATCCAAGGTCGTGTCTTCTTCATTCTGTAATAAATCTTCTATTTTCTCTCTAAAGAATTAGAATAAGACCACAACCATGAGAACTTGAAGGAATGAACTAACAAAATAATCACACTCAAAGCCGGGCGTGGTAGTACACACCTATAATCCCAGCACTCGGGAGGCTAAAGCAGGAGGATCACTGTGAGTTCGAGACCAGCCTGGGCTACATAGTGAGCTCCAGGTCAGTCTTGACTACATAGTGAGACCGTCTCAAAAAACAAAACAAAACAAAAAAATCATACTCAAAAGCAGTCTGAATACATGAATATGTGTGTGTGCAGTATATACTTAGTTTTGGTTTGTTTGCTTTTTAGGGCTAGGGACTGAACCCATAGCTTTCTCACTGAGTTCTATCTCTAGCCCTTTTTAGTACATTTTTTTTTCTTTTTCTTTTTTTTTTGCTACCGGGGATCGAACTCGGGCCCTTGCATTTGCAAGGCAGGCGGTGGAACCACCGAGCCAAATTCCCGGCCCTGGCCCTTTTTCATTATTTACTGTGAGACACAGTTTCACTAAACTGCTAAACTACCCAGACTGGGTTCAAATCTGTAATCCTCCTGCTTCAGCCTCCCAGAGGGCTGGAATTATAGGCATGCATGACCGTGACCAGAAAGAACATATATTTCTTATGTATGTAGTTCTTAGTTCAGCACATGTAGAACAGTAACAGTACATGCTGCCCAACCATGTTCTAACTTTAGTTCAAAAACATAAAAGAAAAAAGCTTTATTTTGGTATAGGATTTAGATAGGATTATTGTTGCTGTTAATGAATTAGTAACAACTTCTCAAGGATTCACCTATTCTACGGATTTAACTTTTTAGTTTCCTAGTAAAGCAATTAATACTGGTCACTAAACTCAGCAGGACCAGCACTCCTCCAATGGCATGTTTGCTTGTCATGGCAAGAGCAAAAAGAACCCAAGCAAACTTATGTGGGGCAGACTGGAAGGGTCTGACCCATGGACACCGCTGTGCGGCGCACTTCTGAGGGCTCTCGCCCAGTGACCTGGAGCAAATCCAGGTATGGGACTCATGACCACAATTTGCTGTGGCTGCACAAACCCAGATGTGCTGCACTGAGATCTTGCTGTTCGTGACATCACATCTATGCGAGTACTGTGAGCGGCACAGATATGAGCCGCAGACATCGACCTGGCCCCGATTCACGTTGGTTTGGATGTAGGAACTTACACTACTTGGTCAATAAACTTCTTCTGATCCTCAGGAATTGTCACAGGACATTTTGAAGTGTTAGGAGACACATACGCCAGAGCTCCTGCACCATTGGCCTGAGAACGTTTTTCATCATAATGCTCTCTCAACTGTCTCTCCTCTTCCTGATTTAAATATGGAATTCCTATACAGAATTTAAAAAGAATGCGTAAGCAGAAGTAATTGTTTCACATAAAAATTTTTAAACAAACTGAACAGTATAATACTCAGGAAAAACATTTATCTACATTTCAGGAAATCAACAGAGAAAGCAAGTGATTTTGTAATATGTTTGTTCATTCGTTTTTCTTTCAGCAAATACATATTCGGCTCTTATGCTGTGTGCCAAGTATTGCAGAGGCACTGGGCAGCTGAAGGCGAACAAGCAGACACAGCCTCCTCTGTAGACAGGGGAACTACTTTTGACTAGATGATCAGAAAAAGCCACTATCAGGGAAATCCCGAAAAAACAAAAGCCAGAGAAGTAAACAAGTATAAATAGCAGAAGGTGGAAATGGCTCGGACCATTCCAAAAACAGCAAAAAAGCTGCTGTGATCAGAGCACAGTGCACAAAAGGGAAATGGTCTGACACCAGGTTGGAGAGCTGGAAAGGATGGGGCAAGATTAGTATATCTCTTGGGCCCTGGTAGGAAATTTATTTTTTCTGAGAGCACTGGGACCTCATCAGAAGATGTTAAACAAGATGAGAACATTATCTGATTCATGTTTAAAAAGCAACGTTGACTGCTGTGGGAATAGAAGTAGGAAGACCAATTAGGAGCAACTGTCCAGGGAAGAGACATCACCTCTGACCAGACATTGGCAAACTTTTTCCTAAAGGGACAGACAGTAACCGTTTCATGGTTACTTATAAGATGTCTGTCCTAGGACTCGATCCTGCACTGTAGCAGCCATGTACAACATGGACATTGACAGGCCTGGCTGTGATCCACTAAGGTTTCTTCACAAAACAGAAAGAAGGGGCAGGTCATCATTTGTGACCCTGGCTTACAGAGTAGAAGGAGAAAGTGATTTTCAAGTAGGATAGGGACACCTTACTGATACAGTGGAGGCAAGGCAAAAAGGAAAAGGCAAAATCAAGAATAAAAGTTACCCAGTTTAAGAAATTGAAAAAAAAAAAAAAACTGAGGAGGAAAACAAGTAGGATGGAAGTGGAAAGTTACTGTCTGACATTAAATCACCTAAACACATATGAATTACATCTCAAGAGCAATGTGATGTGATATAAATTTACTTATCAAGATATGTACGATGTTGAAAACCATGGGACATAGCAAACTTTCTCAAATGACAGAAACCAAAAAAAAAACATGGGCCAGGGATTTAGCTCAGTGGTTCTGCTACCTGCCTTGCAAGCGTAAGGACCTGAGTTCGATTGCCAATACCCACCCCCACAAAAAAAGGAAAAGAAAGAGAAAAACACCATCTGACAATACAATGTTTGAAGCAAGAATCCTCAATAGATGCAAAAAATAATTGAAAAAAAATGATCCAAGTTCACATCGTCTATGATGGGACAAAATGACATCATGGTGTCTCCTGACATGATGCACAGAGGACACACTTACTTCTGTGCTGTTCCTGCTGACATTAATAAATGCATTTGGACAGATTTGAAGAAACATCAGACAAGTCCACACAGGCGAGCATTCTACAAAATAGCCTCTAATTCAAAATTCTGAAGTCATTAACAGACAGGGTAAAAAAGAAGATCAAATAGGATATCAGAAAGTGACAGATATTCCTTGCTCTTGGGCAGGAAGAACCAACATAGTGAAAACAGCCATACTGCAAAATTGTATGGATTTAATGCAATCCCAATCAAAATACCATTAGCATACTTTCCAGAATTCGACAAAACATCCTAAAATTCATCTGGAACCAGAAGAGACCTAGAATAGCAAAAGCAGTTCTGGAAACAATTTGTACAATGGAGTACTCTACCATAAAGAAGGATAAACTTGACACATTTCTAGGTAAATGGATGTACCTTGAGACCATACTCTTAAATGAAATCTGACACATGTGTATAAATACTGCTTTGTCTCTCCTGTGTGAGAAACAAAGTGTAAATAAGTACCAAACTGTGTAATAGACATTGTGAAATAGGAAGAAACTCTTCAAAAGAAGGGGGAACGAGAGTGAGGAGAGGGGGAAAGGAAGGAAGGGAAAAGAAACAATGAGAGAAAAAGAATACAATGGAAATGAAGCTTTTGTAAATGAAGAGGGTTGAAGGGTAGGAGGCGACAGGGAAAATAGAGAGGAATCCAGGTATATCATGTACAAATACAAATTCCCTACAATGTATGTGATCATTACGTATATCTAAACTGTACCAATAAACATAAAAAAAGAAAAAGTATGTGTTCTAGAATTAATTTTAAAAGAAAGAGACTGGGAAGTGATTCTTGATTTTAAAACAGTAGAGAGGGTCGGAGGTGTGAGTTCGAGGTCGAGTGCTTACCTAGCACAAGCTCTGCCTTGGGTTTGATCCCCAGCATCACAAGCTATGTACATAAATAAATTGAACAATAAAAATAATAAAGCCAGGGAATGTACGAGGCCATCAGGAGGCTGAGGCAGGAGAACTGCTGTGAATTACAGGTCAGCCTAGACTACATAGCAAGACCCTGTCTCAACGAACACACAAAACAAAACATGATGCAGTAATGCAATGTATCAGCTTCTTAATCAACATAATAAATAATATGATCTGGTGGCAGATGAAATAACTTTGCGAATTTTAAAGCACTCATATACGTGGACAATATTCAAGATATCTGCAACAACTCAATGTCATTTGAAGACAGCTAGGATTTTCAGCAGCAACCCAGCCCAGATGTGTCAACACTGCTGCGGCCACTGCCTATATTCATAGTAGAAGAAACTACAAAATTTCAGCTGAAGGTTAGAGAAAATACAGATACAAATGTTTTCCCCTCCAAAACCACAGACATGAATTCTATCTTAGGGGTGGGAGAAAAGGTCATCTAAAAACTCGGTTAAAAAGCCCTGTACTCATAAAGGTTGATGGTGATGACATATAGACAAGGAAAAATAGTAACTCAGGAGTGAGAAGGGCAAAGTGGAGGTGACAGTGGCTGACAAGGAGACAGAACAGCTTGGATTGGTGCAGTGACTCTTCCTCCACCACACCAAAGGCAGGAAAAACTGCTGGGTTCAGATTCAGGATGGACCCATGGATGTGGTGGTGAGAACGAAAGCAGTGCTTCTCTGGGGGCTCCGATTTTTACTGGAAAGACATGGAAATGTGCTGCCGTGGGAAGTCCGGGGAGACAGGTGATAAAAAAGAGTTAGAAAGGGAACTGTAGGTCAAGAAGCTAGAATTTTTGACCAAAGCTGAGCGCTTACTCACAGCTTGTGCCCATGAATGCAGAGTGACAGACTGGCCTAGGCGTGTCGCATTTTCAGCAATATTCAGATGTTCAGAAACAGAAAAGGTGGTTGGTCGGTTCCAAACAAAGTCAGGACTCTGAAGTACAATGAAAGAAAAGAGAAGCAAGGGATGTGGACAGGGAGGAAAGTTAAGGTAGAAGAGGGCACAAATAGTGAGAAAACAAAGGAGGTGGGCAGATTGCTGCCCTGAAAAGGAGTCAGTGGAGGAGGACCAGCAGTGGTGCTCTAGGAAGGAGGGCGGTAAGCAAGAGCCACACAGCTACTGCTGGTCCCCTGCCCGCCATGCTGCAAGGATGGAAGGACCCAAGGGAAATGGGAACAAAGACTGCTGACCTCTTGCTCAAGAAACACAGGAAGGGGCATTTGTTGGTCATCCTCTGGATGCTGGCGTCACCCAGAGGCAGGGGAGAAAGAGTGAAGACAGGGGCAAGAAACCAGAGCCACTGCTACTATATGCGGTGCCTAGAAGTCAACAAGGAGAGAGTGACAGAGGTGGTGACACAGCCCAGGGAAGAACAGTGGCTCCTGCAGAAGGAAAAATTCCGGAGTCGTGACAGTGGCATAGAGAAGCAAGAATAATACCTTGCCTGGGTTGGCCAGAGACAGAAAGGATGAGAAGTAAAACCACCTCCCATGGAGAGGGATGCAGGAGGAACTGAAAGAAGAGTTACCAGGTTCCCTTCCTGATAAAGAAGTCAGAGAAACTCAGAAGACCTCCGGAAGATGAGATTTACCAGCCGGAATGGCAAGATTCCACGAAGAGGAAACAAGGGTCCAAGTCGGATTTAGAGAATGCCAATGACAACATGGGGCCAGGTCCCGGTGTGAATGGGTGGGCCCAATTTCTGATTCCGTTGAGACCAAACTGTTCCAAGGTCAGACAGGGAGCAAAGCATATTCCAATGCGGCCTTTTCTCTTCTTTTATAAAAAGTAAAACCAACAGGCTGGAAACCATGCAAGCACCTGAATTCAACCAAAGTAATTCCTTCCAAAGATGTCTGGGCTAAGGGTGAGGCTCAGTGATGCAGCACTTGCCTAGCAGATGCAAGGACATGGGTTCCATCCCCAGCACAAAAGAATGAAAAAACATTTCAAAAAGAAGCTGGATGTGGTGGTGCATGCCTTTAAACTTATCATCTCAGCTACAAGGAGGACTGAAGCAAGAGGATCACAAGTTCCAGGCCAGCCTGGGAACTTAGTGAACCTGCCTCAAAAAAACAGAAAAGACTGGGGATGTAGCTCTGTGGCAGAGAGCTCCTGAATTTGTACCCACGACTACAAAAAGAGAAGAGATGTTTGCATTATTTCAGTACAGTTCTCTAAAGACATGAATTTCTGCTTTATAATATCTTTCAGAATCAAATGTAAACATATTTTTTAACTTTCTCTGTGTGTGTGTGTGTGTGTGTGTGTGTGCGCACTTGGGATCAAACTCAGGACCCTGGTCTTGCAAGGCAGGCAGCGGAACCACTGAGCTAAATCCCCGGTCCCCCAAACATATTTTTTAAAAATAACTTTAGAACATCTAAATTGTGTTGCCTGGCTACTTCATTCACTATGTGAAGCAGTTTGGCTCCTCCCTCCCCCAATTTTTTTAGTACTTCCAGGGGTCAAAATCATCAATAGACATTAAGAGGACCATGATGCAATTAAATCTTAACAGGGCATGGCTTCTGAAGGTCAGGTGAAGAGGATTCACTTGAAGTCTGTAGTTCATTTGTTTTTTTTGAGAAAATTCTAGTACCTTTGTTGAGGTAAATCTCCTTCCCTACCTTCACTCAATTCCACATCTGCCATAGGAAAAAATACAATTTATGAAAATCATTCAGCCCAGGACACTAGTAGACTGGCCATCACAATCATTCACACTATGTAAAATTTCTTTCCTCGAGAAATGAAGCCATCACCAATTATAAAACAAACACCAATGGAAAAGGGGGTTTCCACGGGACACGGTGCTGCACCCATGCAGCCCCAGCTACTTGGGAGACAGAGGCAGGACTGAGAGAGAGCAGTAGCTCCAAACCAGCCTGGGCAAATACAGCTTGTCTCAAAAAGGGATGGAGGGTGAGTGTAAGAGAAGGTAATGGGATGAATATGATCTAAATATATTATATGCACTGAAATCCCCCCAAATATGTGAAAGGATTAGGGTGGGGCAATAAGGGTGAGGGTAGAACGGAGGACGGTTAAAGTACATTATGTGCACATACAAATCTGGCAGAATGAAACCTATTCATCTGTATAACCAATATGCAGTAATAAAAAATATAGGGGACACAGGGGAGAGACACCCATGGCAGTTATTACAGGAACTGATCTAATTTTTACGGGAAGGAAACAGGGAGGTGTCCCCCACAGGTGGTTGGTTAGGTGTCTAAGTCACACTAGCAGTAGAATAAACTATGATCAATAAAATCAGGAGTCTGAAAGAACTCATTAGCCCTCAATGAAGTAGTATCCATGCTCCTGCTCAGTTCATGGCTGTCTTGGTTAAAAAGTCATGATAAAAGGGCCAGGGATTTAGCTCAGTGGCACTGTGCCTGCCTTGCAAGTGCTAGATCTGAGTTTAATCCCCGGTACTGAAAAAATAAATATATAATCACACCAATAAATAAATAATAAAAAATAAAATAAATTTTAAAAGTCATGATAAAAGCATTTCAAAAAATTCAAACGGTGTGCTGGAACTCTAAAACTCTATCACATATAGCAGGCACAAAATAGTAATTCTCAACCAAATCCAGATTTACTTCCGAAGGTTTACATGCTCTAAAGATAAGGGATACAGAATCTTACCTTTGCAAAAAACTTTATTGAAATCAAATCCCTGGCTCGCCAAGAAGTCGATACTGGAGCTCTAGAATAAGAGAACATACGTTTCAGGGATATTAGTGACCCGTAAGAGAACAGAGGCAGAGAAGTAACTCAGGCCAAGTAAAATGAAGACAACCAGGCAAGGAAGCATGTTCAGAAGAAAAGAAATTTCTAGCCACGGCTGCCCAATGATACATCTGTTTACTTAAAATAGCTGGGCTTATAAACCAACATCTCTTATTTTACAATGTTTTTAAAAGTCCACTGAATGAAAAGATACTCTCCCTTTTGGCAAAGCTGTAGACCTCCTGGTGGCTATGCTGAGCAAGAGACTACAAACAGAAATGAAATTCATTTACACAACCTCAACACACTACAAGTATCAGGTAGCTCAGAGCTTATATGAATGAACATCCAACATCAAATCAGATACTGAAAACCCCAAACCCTAACTGAGTGTTGGTTTTTTTTTGTCTGTTGGTTTTGAGAGCAATGGGGACTGAATTCAGGGCTTTCTCACTCAGCTATATCCCAAGCACCTTCACCCTTTTTTTTTTTTTGGAAAAGGGTCTCACTAAGTCATTGAATTGCCCACGCTGAGCTCAAACTTGTGATCCTCCTGCCTCAGTCTCCTAGAATGCTGGGATTGCAGGTGTGCTACCACAATCAGCTCTGAATGTTCTTAACGTGATCAAGAGAAAAAGGTTCCCAGCAACAAGCCTTATTAAGCAAACATTTTAAATCTAAGATAAGATTTTCAATCTAGGATAAAATATCTAAGTGTATCTAAATAAAAATATTCAGTAAATAATACTGCACATGGTACACGAGTATACCACATCATGAAGTTCTAACTCCAACTGATCAAAGACTACTGTAGCCACATATATTTTATTCTTGGCTACAATCAGGACATTAGCAGTCTGCACAACTGAATCATTTTATTCTGGTCCCTCACAGAACCACACTGACCTGGTACTTAGACATCAGGTCCTTGGTCTAGATGGAAGGACACTGTAACAAACAGTCCCAAAGAACTCATAACATGTTCATGTTAGAGACATAAAAAGGGGTCCCGTGTTAAGTTTCTTTGGATAATTTTGGGGTAAATATTCTGAGGGCTCTCTCCTGGGGAAAGGTGCACTTCTCCTGGGTCCTGGGTTGTTTTGATCTTTTGGGCCACTGAAGTGAAGCTATCTTCCCTCTTAGCTGTTTGGAATCTCAGAGATGAACAGTGGAACCTTTCCTTGACACAAACTGTGGGCTCTGATCATACCATAGGAGCCATATTTTATTTTGGTTCAATTGTTCATTTACTTATTTCTTAAATCTTATATGAAAAGGCAAATATATGAATATTAGCCAACACAAATCCTCTTAAAACATGGAAAAGGGCTCATTAGTAGAGTGCTTGTCTAGGATATGCGAGGCCCTGAGTTCAATTCCCAGGACTGCAAAACAAAATATGGTGGGGTTTGGAAAATATTACAGATACACAGATACACACACACGCACACACGCGTGCAAACTTGGATACGTGCAAATCATCTGCCATCATGTCCAGGTTTTCCACAGTTTACAACAATCAACCCATCTCTCTATCACATTATTTTTAATCCTGTCTTATTGAGACTCACCATCTTTAGAGTTGGCTTACTAACCTCTTTTTTTGTCTGCCTCACAAGCACAAGGTCCCAAGTTCCATCCCCAGTACCAGAAAAAAAAAAAAGAGGCTCTGAAAGATAAATTCCAGACATTTTTCTCTTTCCTGTACTGGATTCCAAAACATCCTCTTCATCCCATTAAATCCAGCATCCAGGTTCATCAATTCTTTTCTTTTGTTGAAGGTGCTTATTTTTCAAACGAAATAAGCCTTTGTGTGATACTCTACATAAAACACCCCAAAACTCCACCAAAGACTTCTAAATTTGATAACCAAATATAGTAACATAGCTTAACACACAAAAATCAATAGCCTTCCTGTACATAAATAACAAACTCACTGAGAAATTAGAAAAACAACACTTTTCACAATAGCATCCAAAAAAATTAAATACCTAGGAATCAACCTAACGAAGGAAATAAAAGACTTCTACATTGAAAACTACAGTACTCTGTAAAAGGAGATTGAAGAGGATATCAGAAAATAGGAAGATAGCCCTTGTTCTTGGGTAGGAAGAACCAATATAGTGAAAATAGCCATACTTGCAAAATTGTTATAGAGATTTAATGCAATTCCAATCAAAATTCTAACAGCATGGGCTGGGAATTTAGCTCAGTGATTCCACCGCCTGCTTCTCAAGCATAAGGCTCCGGGTTCAATCCCCAGTACCAAAAAAAAAAAAAATCCAAAGAGCATTTCTCTCAGAATTAGAAAAAATAATCCTACATTCATTTGGACTCAGAAGAGACCTGTAAGAGCAAAGGCCATTCCGGGCTTCAAAGGCAAGGAAGGGGGTATCACAATTCCTGACCTGAAATTATACTACAAAGCCAATGTGATAAAAATAGCTTGGTACTGGCAAAAGAACAGGCCTGAGGATCAATGGAACAGATTAGAAGATGCAGAAATAACTCCACACATACTCAGCCACCTTATCTTTGACAAAGGAGCCGAACACCTTTAACTGGAAGAAAGATAAGAGTCTTTAATAGTGCTGGAAAAACTGGCTTTCCACCTGCCGAAGATTGAAACTAGACCCATATCTTTAAGATATTAAAACAGAAACAATAAATCTGTTGGAATAGAGACCAGGCAGAATGCTTTGAGGATAGAGGGGCAGACAAAGACTTCATGAAGTCCTTTGTGGTCCCCAGGCTGCAAGGGAAATACTACAAAGAATCAACAAATGGAAACTCATCTTATTGAAAAGCTTTTGCACAGCAAGAAAAACCACCACCAGAGCAAAGACACACCCACAAAGTGGGAAAAATTTTTTACCAGCTATTCATCAGACAAAGGACTACTATCTAGAATATATAAAGAACTCAGAAAATTTAGACCCCTCAAATTTAAAGACCCAATCCAAAAATGGGCATGTGAAATGAAGAGAGATTTCTCAGAAGTAGAAATAGCAAACAGACATATGAAAAAATGTTCAACATCACTGTTCATTCAAGAGATACAAATTAAAACAATGCTGACTCCATCACACTCCAGAAAAAATGGATGTAATCAAGAAATCAGCCAATAACTAATACTGGCAGGGCTGGTGGGGGAAAAGGAACCCTTCCCCACTGTTGGTGGGAGTGTGGACTGGTGTAACCACTGTGGAAATCAGTAGGGAGATTTCGCAAAAAACTAAAACTAGAGGTTTCATTTGACCCAGCTACTACCCTTCTTGGTATCATCCTGAAAGAATTAAAAGCATCATACCACAGCGATACATGCACACCCAGGTTCATAGTGGCACAGTTTGTAAGACCTAAGTCTTGGAAACAGCCAAATACCCATCAACCAACAAAGAGAGAAAGACGATGTGTGGTTTTTTTGTTTTTGTTTTTTAATACAATGGAGTAACTGCACTGCCACAAAGGATGAGTTTCTGACATTTATAGGTAAATGGATGGACCTTGAGACCATAACTCTTAAATAAAACAAATCAGACATACATGTTTAAGTACTACATTGTTTCTCTGGTGAGAAACCAGAAGTGGAAATAAGGACTGAAATGTATAATAGACATTGGGAAATGGGAACAAGCAAGAAGTGAGAGAGAGAGAGAGAGAGAGGTGAATAATGAAGGAAAAAAATGGAAATGAAGTTTTTGTTATTTTGGTTTTTTTTGAGACAGGGTCTCACTATGTAGTTGAGAATGGCCTGGAACTCACTATGCAGCCCAGGCTGGTCTCGAACTAACAGCAATCCTCCTGCCTCAGCCTCGAGAGTGCTGGGATTACAAGCCTGCACCACCACTCCCAGCTGAAACAAAGCTTTTGTACATAAGTAGGGGAGGGGGCTTGTCAAGAGGGGGAATGGAAAAAGGAATTGGAATGTGTCAGGTACAGGTACAAATTTCCTACGATGAGTATTATCATTATGTATGCCTGAAATGTACCAGTAAATGTTTTGATATAAAAAGAGTCTGAATGTACTTAATACCACTGAAATATAAATTGAAAATCACTAGGACGATATGTTATATTCTACAATTAAAAGCAATCAAGTGAACCAGCAAAATCTATTTGTGATTTATTATCCCCTTTTAGGTGTCTGGTTTTTTTTGGTTTTTTGAGACAGGGTCTCACTACGTAGTTGAGACTGACGTGGAACTCAATATGTAGCCCAGCCTGGTCTCGAACTCACAGTGATCCTCCTGCCTCAGCCTCCCAAGTGCTGGGATTACAGGCGTGCGCCACCACGCCCGGCTTCCCTTTTAAGTGTCTTAAATGTACCTTTTTCAAGATTCAAAAGATAAGCATAGCTATTCTGGAGGATTGAGGCATTTATCAAAAATTTAAAAGTATATGTCCTCCAGATTCCACAATTCCTCTTCCATCCTACAGAAAATCTCCGACATATACAGAAAGACTGCACAGGGCCAGGGATTTAGCTCAGTGTTTCCACCGCCTGCTTCGTAAGCACAAGGTCCCGAGTTCAATCCCTGGTACCACAAAAAAAAAAAAAAAAGACTGCACAGAGATGTTAACTATAGTACTTTTTATAACTGGTGACAAGCCTCTAAATTCCAAATAAAAGCTCTTAATTATACACATCCATACATGAAATATGAAGATATTCTGTTAAATAGAAACTGTAAGTTATTTAAAATATAAACAGTAAAGAAAAATACTAAAATATGCATGTAGACATATGGGTATATGTGCACATGTACAAAAAAGCTAAAGGAAAAGAGTGAGCCAGGTGTGGTGGTGCATAGCTCTAACCCCAACACTGGGGAGGCTGAGGCAGGAGGATCAGTGGGAGTTTGAGGCCAGCCTGAGCTCCATAGTGAGTCCAAGGCCAGCTTGAACTACACAGTGAGACCCTGTCTCAAAAGAAAAAGACAGCAATGAGAAGTTACATGGACGAAAAGGCATATGGAAAGAAAGGTACTTGTTACTCTATGTACAACAGTAATATTTTAATTTTTCACAACTATTTATGTATCATGTTCTATGAATTCAACTACAAGTGTTCTGCCAGTAAAGGAGGAGGAAGAGTAGAAAGAAGACAGAAATCACGTGTCACTCAATCCTGCCTGCCACCCCACCGCACAAGCACATTCTCTTGGGTGTATGGTTTTGTCTCTCCGTTCCCCCACATCTTGCCTGGTGCATGAGTATCTCACCATGTGTACAGATTACTTTCCAAAGAACACAGGAAACTGCTTTACCCTCAAATCCTACATGCTTTAACAGTAAAAGAGCTCCTGGAGAGCGATTCTGAAACACTTTCATCAACTTGCTGACTCTTGAACCTAATTCCCTTGCAAGACTGTGAGATGCAACTCATACAATTTTAAATCCCCAAATGGTGGGATCACAGATGTGTGCCACCAAGCCCAGCAGTTGGCTTTGTTAATAATGAGGTTTATATTATGGTTTCCATCTGCCTGTCTTTGTATTTTACTTAATTCATTCTAAAATAAAGGGGAAGATAATAATGTCATTCACTCACACACCTAAAACTGGATGTCAGAGGTGAAATAATTTGTCAAGGCCCAAAGTTAGTAGTAAAACCGTATTTTTAAAGAGAATTCTGATCCCACATTTCTGCACTTCCTCATCAACAACTCATAAAAGAAAAAACCCAATTATGCTACTAACCTGACAAACAAATTTGACATCAGGTGAGGATCTATTGAAGGGTTTTGGGAAAACATAGAAGTTAAAAGACTTCATGATATACCTGAGAAGACAACACAAAAGGAGACTTAGGAAGTTACATTACATCATAGCGAAAGAATTCCCACCTCTTACTTTAAAAAACCTACTTTGAATCTGTGTAGTCATACTTAAAAGTGCAAAGGCCAAACTGAAACAGCAAAAAGTCCATGGAATGCTGGAAAAGGGAAATAAAACATCTGTCACAATATGGCTGCAAATTCAACACAGGCACTAGAGTTCCCAACTGGGTGGTCTTTCTGCATCACTCAACTTGACTTTGGCTGAACATTTCCAAGTAAAACAGATTACACAGATTATGAATCAGGGACATTATCAATTTATTTCATTTAATTTTTCCCAGTTAAGCACTTTTCATCATCATCCAGAGTATCACATATAAGCCAACTTTCAAATTATTAAAATAACCACATTATTGTTCTATATATCAAAATAACATTGAAAATAATAATCATTCCCCAAATGTTTTTCCAGCAAACAATTATTTTTGCTGCTGTTTTAAACATGACTAAAAGATCATTTTGTGTCTGGGGTTGAAAACTGCTATACTTCTGTAATATGCAAATTTAATTATCTCTATAATTTAAACATAAAGAGGCTCTATGTGGGGAAAAAAATGACTTTCAAGCACATCTACTTGCCTTCTTAAGCTTCTGATACCTCTCTTCTGGAGTGTCAAAACCATTTGTCAGGGCACTGACTGAAGGTCCATCGCTGATTCCTAGATATTAAGATACAAGTTTTTAATTTAATGCTAGTGTGATGTCAATCACTCCACATACCTCTACAGTTTCAAATTCTTATCAAGTAAGACTAAGTAAGTGCACCCTGCTTTTTTCAAAGTTAGCATTCTTTTGGGGCTGGGGGTGGAGCTCAGTGGTAGAGTGCCTGTCCAAAGCCCAAGCAAGGTCTTGGATTTGATATTCCCTAGGAGGGTGGTGGCAAACCTAAACTGCAGTGGGCTGTTTGTTGTCACTGAAAGGTCTACAAGGTTATCACTGCCCTAGGAGTTGAGAGGAGGGAAGATTACACAAATACACTTGCTCAGGTAGGTAACACCTCACACTGTGTAAAGGATTATACTCATTTACATGTAAAATCCTGATCCCAACCAGTCACAAAAGGACAAATATTGTACGATTTCACTTATGCGATCTGACTATGTAGAGCACTCAAATTCATAGAGACAAATAGTGCTTGCCAGAGGCGGGAGAACGTGAAAATGTACGAGGATGGTTTGGGAGTAAATTGTATGTATATTTGTCACACACACAAAAACAATTCTGCCCCTAATCCTCACGCTCTCTACCATGTACATATACACTCTATTAAGGGGAACCCAAACAATAATATCTATCCCCAACCTCACAGACTGATCAATCACAAATCCAATGCATCTCCTCCATGTTTTTTGAAAACGTTTAAGAGGAAATACTGAGCCTTCCACAACACAAGGGTGAGCAGCCAGGAGGCGAGAAGTTAGGGAACTGGGATGTGAGGAGAAGGCAGCTGAAGGACACTGAGCTATGCGTTGCAAGGTGCTGCCCCGAGCTTGCATTGGATACCTGAAAACTCCCCATCGATGGCGAAGAAGTCTGCCTCCTCTATGGCCTGGTACACTTTATGAAGGTTACTCTTAAAATCTGCGGAGAAACCGAGAAGAAGCTCAGAAACCGAGACCTGGCTTCCTGCCCACCGACTCCTAAGGGGGAGGGAAGGAGGGCCGTGGGGCACCTGGGGTCGCAGGCTAATGGAGACACCTCCCAGAGGTGTGAAAGGGCTATAGACAGTAAGTCCCACAGGCCAGGCGTGACGAAATCCCCAGCAGGTGGCTAGGCCAGAGGGGAACGTGGGTTCCCAGATTGGAAGAGAATAAGGGCCATGGAAAGGCACATTCCGCAAGGAGCAAGGCCCCGAGAGCGCACCAGCAGCAGGGGTGCAAAGCGCACAGGGGCCGACTCGGCTCTAAGGCCCCGCCGAACTCGCTGCCGCGGACCAGGCCTAGCAGGCTCGAGTGAGTGTGGTCGTGGGGATGCGAGAAGGTGAGCCGCGGACACGCACTGTTCCTAATTATCTCCATTCTTCCGAGTGGCTGGAACCCCTGCCCCGCCTAGGCTCGCCTCAGCCGTTCTACTCGCAGAGTTCCGCAGCTACCGGGCTGGCCACGGAGGCGGCAGAGGCAGAGGCAGGAGGCAGCAGAACACACCGCCGGGGCGACTTCCGGAAACAGCGCGCGCCCACTGCGCCTGCGTCAGCGTCAGCGTCGGGGGCGGGGCCAAGGCTGAGGCGCCGCTGGCTCCTTCCTGGACCCAAGGAGGACCCTGGTCGTCGAGTCCCCAAGGTGGAACCTGACTTACGGAGGCATTCGCTTGGAAAAATACGCAGTCTTGACATCTAGTTGATCAACAATTATTTATCGTACAGTCTGTGCCTCTCTAATAGAAGTAGAGATACACTGAGGAATAGGAAAGCATCCCAGCCCCGCTGGAGTTTAAACTTGGGGTAGAAGGAGGAAAGACCAGAGCCAGACTTGCCATTTGAAAACGCCCAAAAGAAAAAGAAGAGGGTGCTGCAATAGAGAATAATTGAGGTGGAAGGTTACTTAGGTGATCTGAGAAACTAAAGCGATAAAGTCATGGTGCACAGACCAGCATAGGAACCAAACCTCTTGGGACCTTCACCTCTTATTCACCAAAAGCATGGTTTGTGTTTTCTCCTAAGACAATCAGGGACTTAAAAGTGGTTTTGCTAAAAATTGTGACTTCGCACGGTCTACAGATGCCCAGTAGGTAACTAACAATACAACAAAACTTAATGTTCGTTTTAGAAAACGCTGGGCCCTATCCTTCTCAACTTTGAATACAGACATGTTAATCATTTGGGGGAGGGGTCCCCAACCCCCGGTCATGTGCTGGTATTGGTCCTTGGCCTGTTAGAAACGGAGCTATAGGCCGGGAATATAGCCAGAGATGCAGTACCTGCCTGGTAGGCAGAAGGCCCTGAGTTTGAATCCTGGTACCAAAATTTAAAACAGAAAAAAGAAAAGAAGCTGGGCCACAAAGCTGCTCCCCACCCCTCGTATTTCCACCTGAGCTCCTGTCAGGTCAGTCAGGACAGTGATGGTGAACCTTTTAGAGACCGAGTGCCCAAACTGCAACCCAAAACCTGCTTATTTATCGCAAAGTGCCAAAACTGCAATTAAACCCAAATAGTGAGGTTTTAGTTTAGAAAAAAAACAAGTCATATACCGGCCATGGTGGCACACGCCTGTAATACCAGCACTCTGGAGGCTGAGGCAGGAGGACTGTTGTGAGTTCAAGACCAGCCCTGGGCTACATCGTGAGTTCCAGGTCAGTCTCAACTACACAGTGAGACCCTGTCTCAAAAAATTAAAAAAAAAACCCACAAAAACCAACTTATATATTAACATCTTTTAAAAGAAAAACACAAGAACAGAGCTTTGAGTAATAACAAACAGCTTTTTATTGAAAGGAAAAGTTTGCATTTGGTGCACTTTTAAAAATTTGTGTGTTCTTTGCTGCATGCTGATAATTTGCAAACCTTGGCTGGGGCAAGTTGGCTCCTGTGCTGATGGAAGCCTCTGCATGCCCACTCAGCACAGATGCTATAGGTTTACCACCACTGAGTTGGGCATTAGGTTCTCATGGGAGCAAGAACCCGCCTGTGAACTGCACATGTCAGGGATCTAGACTGCACACGCTTTTTGAATCATGGGGTAGCTTTTTATTTTGGTACCGGGTTTGAACTCGGTACCTTGCACTTGTCAGGCAGGCAGCAGAACCACTAAGTCCCCAGTACCATGGGGTAGTTTCAACCATGGAAAAATTGTCTTTCATTAAACTGGTCCCTTGTGCCAAAAAAGTTGAGGACTGCTGATTTAGGGAGTATCTATCTAAAAGCTGGAAAAACAAGTTTTATTAGCCCTAAATTCATCTAGCCTATTTTATTACTCTTCAAATTAAGGACACCAGGATGAGAGATTTATAGGGACATCCAGCTATACCCAGAATCATACAGACCAAAACTTATAGTCAATCTAGATTCCAGCAGAGCCTCACATAACTGGAATTGTCCCTCAGGTCAGGATTCATCCTGAGATAAGAAACCAGGTTTGGATAGGAGATCCTGGCCCACCTCAGTTAATCCTTAAAAACTGGCCTCCTGCTTTTGTGTGTAGGTCTGTCTGCACTTTTCACCAGAGTGCGTCCCCTCCAGGTACTACCCTGAGATTGCTATTTATCATCAAAGTCTAACACTGCGCTGAGATGCAGTAGATGTTCAATAAAATGTATTCAGCACATGAATTTACCCTGGTCTTTCACAAAAGCCAACTGAGTTGGTTAGAAGACTTGTTTTCAAAGGTTAGCTCTGGAGTGTGTTCAGTCTTCCTAAACTTCAATTTCTAGGGGTTGTATTGAGGATCATTGGTGTTGAGGTAGGTGAATTGTATTGTATAAATAAGGACTTATTTTTTTTTTTGGTACCAGGGATTGAACTCCAGTCCTTGGGCTTGTGAGGCAGGCGGCAGAACCACTGAGCTGAATCCCCAGCCCTGTATTGTATAAATAAATCCATGTAAGTGTTTTATGGAAACCGAATTTGGGAAGATGAGTAGTTGTGACGGTTGCCTAAGATAATGCACTTGATGCTACTGAACTGTTAAGCCATTTAAAATGGTTAAAATAGTAAATGTTGTTATGCATACTCTATTACAAAAGGAAACATTTATTCCCAGGCATGGCGGCACAGGTAGAATAGGAAAGTCCGCACACAGCTGAGGCAGGACAGGAAGCTCAAACCCAGACTGGGCAAGTGAGTGAGACCCTTTCGGGGGTGGGGGCGGTAGGGTCTCTGTGTAGCCCAAGGTGGCCTCGAACTCGCATCGAGTGCTGGGGTTACAGGCGTGCACCACCACACCCGACCTAACATCAGCAGTTTACTGCGTTCCCATTGCCAGATTATCCTCACACCCACTGCACTAGCACAGAGTACTACCTATCTTCTCTAAAATTTGATAGGTGGAGGGAAAAAAACAGCATCTCAATTTAGCAATTAGACAATTTCAAGACGATTTAAATACATTTTTTTTGTACTGGACATTAAACTCTGGACCTTGCACTTGCGAGGCGGGCGACGAAACCACAGCTAAATCCCCGTACCCGTTTTATTTTGTTTTGCCTTTTTTTTTTTTTTTTTTTTTTTTTTTGCCGGAGATCGAACTCAGGACCTTGCTCAAGCCGATTTAAAACAGGTAATCAACATGAGTTCTCCACAAACAAATACTGTGGCAAAGAAGAGAGGATGTGGCGATAACGTCATTTTGCTTCCCAATCAGCTCAACACTGTAAGATTTAACTTCAATTCTTTGATTTTCCGCATACAATGTGCTAAGAAAAATCGTAGAGAGCACAATTCTGTCTTGTGGTCTCTTTAATTCCTGAGCAAGGCTGCTTCCACGGGATACAGAAACACCCGCCTCAGGGAGCAATTAGTCGCAGGCAGCCACCCTCCGCCTCCAGGGGTAAACCCGGAGCTCACACTCTAGGTCCTTCCAGAAGAGGAAAGGGCGTGGTTGCCGGTTGTACGCATGCGCCCACGTCGACAACCCCGGGGTAGCCGCTCTAGGCAGCGGGGAGGTCGCAGGGTTGAGGGGTTTGGTAAGTGAGTGCGGCCTCTCCTCTATGGTCGCGGGCTGGGGGCAAGCTCCGCACTGGCTCCTAGGTTACCTCCGGAAGTGAAGTCGCCACCCCCGCTCCTTCCTCGGGGGTCAGTGCTGGGTGATGGCCGGGTAGGACCCAGGACGGAAGGAATGGTGAGCTGTGGCGCGTCAGGGGATTGCGAGGTAGGGGGCAGCTTGATTTCAGGGCCTCGGGTGGAAGATGGACTGGGATCCCCTCGGCTGAGCCGCCCCGGCGGGGTAGGAGAAGGCACGCGGGTTTTTGCTTGTCCAGGGTTGCGTCCTGGGCAGCTCTGCCCTGGCCTCTGGGTGCAGACCCCAGCTTGGCCGATTTCCCCGTCTCTTCCCAAGAACCCCACGTCTGCACGACTAGTCCCTCAGTTTCAGGATCGGAGCCGCTAGCTCCTGGGCTCCTCACGCCTGGCCGGCGTGGGGGGCGTCTCTGCTACCCATCTTTGAGGAGGGGAACCGAGGGACTCCTGTCCCCCAGGAGCGCTAGAATTAGTCGGGCCCCTGATAGGCGCCAGATCACGGTCTGTTGGAGAAGGAGCGATTGTTTCCCTAGTTAAAAATCGGGTAACGGAAAGGAAAAATGAAATTACGAAGACACACAGGCTGGGCTAGACTTCCAGCCTCACGGCTCCGAAAACTAAACTTGTGCAAAAGGGGGTTTTCTTTTTATTAAACGAAGAAGAAAGAAAGTGTGGGAATGACTCAGGTTATGTCTAACTGGGGATCTTTGGCGGGGCAGGAGGGCACACCCCCGCCCCTTGGTGGAGAAGAAAGTGATATCCCAGACACTGTCTTGCCCTCCACTGTCGCCGCCGTTGGGGCCGCCCTACCGAAGCCCATTGGTCAGTCCTTTGGGGTGGGCCTAACGTCACACCCAAAGAGGCCAATACGGAGGAGTTTTACTCTCGTCCTCAGGCACCTCCCAGAGCTGGTGCTGCCTGCACGTGTCAATAGGATTTGTTCTTGTCGTTGTTTTGTAAATAGTCAGCCAGGATGTATTCTGATCTTTGATTTTCTCTGGATATTTCCATCAACTGATTGAAAAAACTGTACTTCTCCAGGGCAGTTCTGTCATTTGTTTTCCTTCAGCGTTGAGTTTTTCCTCCAGTGTTGACACTAGCATAGTTCACACTACATAGCACTCAGGAAAATGCTGTTCCCAATCATTCTATTATTAGTACCAATCAACCATACGGCAAACTCTTTTAAGCAATTTGTCGCCTCATCCTCCCGAAAATGCTTTGGAGTTGATGTTCTTATCCTGCCCTGATAATGGAAACAGTGAGACCCAGGGAGAATGAATGGTGACCTGGTTTGGAACCCAGATCAGTCTCACTTCTAAAACCATTCATTCTGTTTCAGTTCTACCAGCCTCTCCAGGGGAATCATTATAGTCCAGGAGATGAGAAAATAAACACAAATAAACATTACACTAATGCACGGAGTCAGGAAAGATTAATTTGGGTGTTGGGGAGTCAGTATTTAAAGACATGATGTGAGTCTTGTCAGTGGATCTCTTTGACTCAGAGATGGTATGGAGTTGTGTTGCAGATGGGGGAACAAAGTGAGACTATGGAAAAATACCCAGAGAGCAGAACTCAGTAGGTGGGACCACTGTAGTAGGTCTAGAGAACAAAAGAGGGGAAAATCATGGTAATGTTACTTACTGATGCTTTCATAGTACTTGCAGGCATAATTCTGAGTGCTGTGAATGTAGTAATTGTTTTAATCCTTTCAAGTTTATTAACATCCCAGGCCAGGGATTTAGTGGTTCTGGCACCTGCCTCGAAAGCACCTGAGTTCGATCCCCGGTACAAAAAAAAAAAAAAAAAAAAAAAAAATTAACATCCCTATTAGGCAGTTAATTATTAATATCCTCATTTTACAGATGAGGCAACTGAAGCAGAAAAGGTAAGTGACTTGCATAAAGCCATACAGTTAATAATTGGTTGAGCTCGGATTTTTAACTCGTTCTGACTCTAGAATTTGTGCTATAATTTAAAAAATTACTTTGAGTATGAGGGTGTAGCTCAGTAATGAAGTATGTGTGCTTGGCATGCAGAAGGCTCTGGGTTCAATCCCCAGCATGAAATAAAAGTTATCTGGCTTGCTAGCTAGACTTCAATGACTAGTTTAGGACTGTGGATTTTTATTTCCTTGTAGCCAGGAGCATTTTTGAGCAAAGGGACTGAAGGGAATTTTGCTCTGGAAGGATGATTTACGCACTATCGAGAGGAAGGACTGATAAGAAGAGGATTTGAAATGTTACTTAATCTTTATTTTGTTTGTACCTTGTCTGAGACTTATATGTGCATATAAAGCACTGAAGTTCCAGACTTGCCTACATATAATGTTCTGAAGGGTTTGTTTAAAATGTGCAGACAGCTGGGTGTGGTGATGCACCCCTGTGATTTCAACACAGGGGAAGCTGAGAAAGGGCAATCTTGAGTTTGAAGTCAGCTTGGACTGCATAGTGAGACCCTGTCTCAAAAAAAAAAAGAGTAGCCCTCTGTAGATTCCATATGTGTGAATTCAGTCAACCGTGAACCAAAAATTTTGGAAAATATAAAAGTTCCAAAAAGGCAAAACTTGAATAATGACTATTTACCCAGCACTTACATTGTGTTAGGTATTTTAAGTAATCTAGAGGTGACTTAAGGGATACAGGAGGATGTGCATAGGCTATATGCAAATACTGTGCTATTTTAAATACAGGACTTAAATGTCCCCAGATTTTGGTATTTGTGGGGTGTCATGGAACCACTCCCTCATGGATACCAAGGGACGACTGCATTTATCAGCCTCGCTTCCAGACATCCTGGTTTGGGGGAAATCACCAAACTCCCCAGGGGATTCTGACAAAGACATTAAGAGCTATTGTGAAAAGAAGTCAAGTATTGTTGAATTGATTTGCCACTGGAAATGTAGAGTCCAGCTTTGTGCCGGTCACTTTCAGGCATGTAAACAGAATTCCGAGGCTTGGTTCCTGGCCACAGGAGCCCAGGAATTGACTGTAAAGGCAAAGACCTGTCTGAAATCAAAGTGTGTAAACTGGATCTGAAGGAGATACTGAGTAATAATGAATTGTAACTGAATTTTTTATTGTACTGGGAATGGAACCCAGGGCCTCATGCATGCTAGGCACATATTCCCCAGTGCCAAAAATGGATTATCTTAAAACCACTAGTTAAGGTATGGGTTACTTGGTAGCCATTGTAGTAAAGCGTTCTGATAAGTTGAACATGTACAAAGTTTAGTACAGGGTAGGGCCTTGAATATCTGCCACATAACACATGCAAGAGGACAGGCAGAGAGAGAACCTGGATACCCTTCTTGGTCTGCCCTCATCTTGCCCAATACCACCCAAGGCAATAAATCACGGGGCTTCAAAGTTCAGGCAGCAAGTTAATATCCAAAGGAGCTAGCTACCTTTGTCCTAGTGATTTCTGACCCTGTCCCCAAAAAAATCTTTCTGGAATAGGAGAAAGAAAAGGTTATAGGCTGGAAATGCTTCTCAAATTAATTTAAGAGTCAATTTTACTGCCTTGGGGAAGTACATACAATGTTCTCTTCTTATTGCCATTTCTCTCCCTTGCTCCACTCATGTTGGGCAGTGTGCTTTTGGGTCAAGTCACTGGAGAAGGATGGACACTCTGGACATTTAATAATGTCTGCAGTGTGCCACTAGTATTTACAGTGGTATCCCCAGGAGTGGGCCTTCCGCACACACATCCCTCCCCTTTCTGCTGTGAACGTCTGCATAAGAACAGCCTGCTCACCCTAAGGCTACCAGCGAGAGTTCCTATTCCAAACTGTTGCCCCATCTTAGTTTGTTTTTCTCAGCTGTGCAGTACCAGCTCTGTTATGGGGCCTAGATATTAAAGGAGTACACCAGTCTTTTGAACTAGTAACTGTTAATAATTACTTCATTGGGGTTAATATCTTTATGGAGGTAGACCATGATTTAAAAACTGGTTCTGCCCTTTGCCAATTAGGCTTTCCCTTGTCTGAAAAATGGAAATGATTAGTAATACTTATTCCATAGGATTGTTGTACTTTCAAATTATAAGGGCTCAAGAAATATTAGCAATTGTTATTTCTGTTGTAAGATAATATGTAGTGAAAATAAATAGCTTAATTAGAGGCCCAAAGAAACCAAAATCTTATCTTTCTTTTTTTTCCTATGGTGATGGGAATTGAAACCAAGGCTCTGAGCCTGTAAGCAAATGCTGTACTACTGAGCCACATCCCAAGCCCCGAAGCTTTTTATTCTTGCACTGAACATCCTTGCAGAGAAATGATGGAAATCACATTGTTCAGGCATTAAAAGGATCATTCCTAAAATATCAGGCGTGTACTGTACTCACAATAAATGTGTGTTGAATGAAGGGTAGAACTGTAATGTGCTGCTGGAACAAGCAGCTTGAAGATTACACTTTCTAAAGTGTTAGTAATCATTGTACAATGACTTATTTAAGCTAAGGTATAAAAAATCTTCACTCAAACTCAGAAGCAATGCATTCTCTTTTAGTAAGATCAATGGAAATTACTGTGTTGGCCTTCCTCAGTGGAAGTGACTGCTTTCCATGGGTGACTAAAGAAGCAAACAGGTGTCGCAGTGCTATCCCCACTTCCAGATGTTGCAGATAAAGCTATGATAAGCTCTCTACTAAGCCAGACAAACAATTTTCCTTCCAAAGCAGGCCATATTCAGCTTCTTTACTTCCATAGCACCACCGGGAGACTGTGTCCCTGTGTTCCTTTCATGATTTTCAGGTACCTTTACCCTGCCTTTCAGCTGGGTTTGCCTTCTGTGCCGTGACATAGAAGAGGTCATCTGGATAGATGTGTTGGAGGGGCCTAAGTCATCAGAGGCTGGACTGTGGGCCCTGATGAGAGTCAAGCCAACTCTGCCCTTCTGGACACGGTCCCTGCCGTTGACTGGAGCCTTTCATACACACAGTCTGCAAGAAGTTCTCTGGTCTCCCACTCCAAAGCAGAAGAGGCACAGTAAAAGGTGCAGGAGACCTCACAGGCATCTACTTTCTCTGCAACCTAAGCCTCACAGCAGATCAAGGAAAATTTAGAAACTGGCAGGACTCCGGAAGTTGGCAAGCTTATGGCCACTTTGCCTGGAAACAGCCATACCCTGGTTAGACTCTGAAGGTATCACAGTAGAGACGGGATGAAAACTCTGGGGCCAGGCAAGTGACAGGACTGAGGAACAGGGGAGAGGAATGGATCACAGCTGATGGCCCTGCTGAAGGGATGGCTGCTGAGATCTTGGCTCCGATTCTCATCATGCAAGACAAGACCCCTTTCTGGCCATGTTTGCTTTTTTTTTTTTTTTTTTTTTTTTTTTTTTTT